AGAAAAGCTTTAATTAATTTTTATGTTCATCAGCACCTAAATTTCAGATACGAAAAAAAGATGTAGTGTTTGCCGTTAACATTCATAATTTCTATATACTTCAGAGATTCACTGTCAAATTTTCAGGAAACTTTCTTTCAGGTATCTTCTGCAAAACCCCGAAATTTTATGTCGATCCGAGGTGTTGTATGAGTTCTAGAGAAATATTCTAGGCTGATATTAATCTGATTTTTTTTTTTTGATTTTTTTGGGGAAGGGGAGGGGAGAAAGAGGAGTAAATTTATTATTGATTCTGACCTTTTGGTCAAAAGTCAAGGTCATCGAAGTTCAAGGTCAAGATCAAAGGTTAAGATCAAAGGTCAAGGTCATGAGAAAATCCCGGAAATAAATTTACTTTCTATGTTTTTTTTTTTACTTCATCAAGACTGAAATTACTCCAAACAAATAAAATGTTCATTCTACACCTAAATTATTCACAACTGATCATCCCTAAAAGTTTCCATGAAAAACTACTCATGTTTGAAACAACGTCCGGTTTTTAGGCCGGCACTCCCAGTGAAAATGATTTGCATGGTTTTAGTCTATCTAACATCTGCATTAGCCAAACATTTCTGTAAAAAGAAAACAAAACTTGGAAAATTCACTTTTTTTGCATCGCTTCCGGTCACGACGGAAACTGACGGCAACGTACGATTTTCACATGATGTAGAAAAACTGGTGACTGACTATCAGTCCTGAAAGTTTTAGACTTCAGTCGTTTACTGGTGCTGAGCAATTAGGTGAATAAAATCTCAATTTGAGGGCAGGAAAATACGCAACCGGAAGTGAATTATACTAAGATGTTTGACGTCAATTTAGACATCTGCAGTCTCAATAACATATATAAAAATCATTTAAAGAACTCTATCTATAAGCGATATGTATGGGAAAATCCAAAAACCCTATGATGTAGTTTTTCTCTTATAACCGGAAGTTGTTGTTTTTTGTTTCGGGTGGAACCAACACATATCAAAACTGTGAAAAAGATACAATTATATGATGCAAGTCTTATTCCAAAAGAGAATAGTTGAAATTTTCGATTTCTTTGATCACTTCCTGTGACGACCGGAAGTGACGATTGACGCTCTTAACCCAAATGATTTTGTCTACTCCCCAAGGTCTATTACTCATAAAAGTTTGGTGTCAAAATCTCTTACCGTTTCTGAGGTCTCACTCCGAAAATTTCTCATTTTACGGACACCTAAACGCGCGACCGGAAGTGAATTTTACAAAGATTTTTGACGTTACTCTAGACATTTGCAGTCCTAATAACATAAGTAAAAATCAGTTCAAATACGTCATCTATAAAAAATATTTATGGGAAAGAAAAATACCCAAATTATGTAGTTTTTCTCTTATAACCGGAAGTTGTCGTTTTTGTTTCCGGTGGGACTGACATATTTCAAAACTACAAATGAAATGCAATAACGTGATGCAAAAAAAGATTCAAAAAAGAAAAGTTGAAATTTTCGATTTCTATTATCACTTCCTGTGACAACCGGAAGTGACGGCTGACGCTCTTATCCCAAATGGTTTTGCCTACTCCTCAAGATCTATTAACCATTAGAGTTTGGTGTCTTAATCTCTTACCGTTTTTGAGATATGACTGGGACAAAATATTTTTTAAAAAGACGGAAATCGGAGATATCTGACGACCGGAAGTGAATTTTGAAAAAATGAAAAAAACGCCTGGGGGTATTTTCATTCTCTATCATTCCTGAAAATTTCAAGAAAATCCGTCCAGCCATCTCTGAGAAATCGCTCCGACAAGAAAAGGGGAAAAAAAAAATAATAATAAAAAGAAACAGTAGAATCACTATAAGGTCTTCCGTCTGAAACGGAAGACCTTAATAATAGAAAACAGACGGAAAACAATAAGGTCTTCCGAAGGAAGTCGGAAGACCTTAATAACAAGGGACGGGCTGCGTGAGAAAACCTTAACACTGTTCCCTAATGAAAATGTATTAATGGACTGTAGCCCGATTCATCGATATTATGAGCATGCTGAATTTTTTGTAAATAGCTTCGTTAAAAGCGTAAAGGATCGGGTTCGGATTTTAACATTTCTGATTGAATATCCTGAAATAAATATGAAACATTTAGATAAGCATTTCTTTGGGTTAAATTAAATATGTGTCGCACAAATCAAACTCCCAACATGCATTTTTAGAAGGGAAACACGACAATGAAAGCGAGAATTGTTTTTAATATACCGAAAATCGTTATTTCTGGAAACTGATTAATTCTAAATAAAAATCAAATAAATTCCAAATGTAAAAGAGAGAGAGAATGCTTGGTATTCAAATGTCCTATCATATCAGGAAAATCGAATGCTACTAACGACATCTGAAGAAATAGCCGATAAAAGGTTTAGATCATTTCTTCGTTCACCTGCACTTTAATTTCAAACACAACAGAACTTGTAGTTTTTGCCGTGAAACTTCATGACTTCTATAAACTTATAAGACTCACCGTAAAACTCTCAAGAAAGTTTCTCTGAGGTCTATACTACATTTGTACCAAATATGGTGTCGATCCGAGGTCTGGTTTGAATTTTACAGAAATATTCTACGTTGTTGTTGATGTGATTTTTTTTTTTAAGAAGGGGGGGGATTAATTATTTATTTTATGCCTCTTTTAAACTAAGAATTGTAACTACTTTCACATCTTTAAGCCTGATTGTGCCCTTTGGGTCAAGGTCAAAGGTCAAGGTCATTTAAAAAAAAAACAACAACAAGGAAATCTTTACTTTCTATGTTTTTACCTGATACTGGAGCTGGATGCATGTCCTTACTTTTCATTTGACCCAATGTCAAAGTCAAAGGTCAAGGTCAAAGTTCAAGGTCATTTGGTGAATTGCTATATTTTACACATATATAAGGAATTATTTCTTATGTTTTTAATGACTTTGACCTTGACCTATATTTCAAGGTCAAAGTCAAATATGCCGACGCAGTTGGTCCCATGTCTCTAGGATACACCGTTTTCAAAAAAAGTTCATTAAGTGTAAGCAGCATAAACTTTCAGGGGCAGTAACTCATACAAGGGACCAAAGAATGCTTTTGCAATGATAGAATGAAGAGTACTACATGAGTCGAAGACACTGATGAAGGCTTGGAATCTCTACGGAGGAGTAGCGATAACAAGGTTTTATTGCAAAAGGGGTGACAACTTTTGAATGGGTCAAGCTTTGGGGACAAGAATGAAATCCTTAAAATAGTTTTAGAAGGACATATTATAGATGCAAAGATATTCAGTATATGTCGAAAGGTTTTCTACAGAATCTGTGACAAAAAAGCTTTTAAAAATCAGCAAAAACTACCATACATGTTTTCAAAGAGAGAGAAGTCATTAGCAACTGAAAAAAAGAGAAAAACAAAGAAAAAAAAATTAACTGCCTCCAGCAGGATTCGAACCCCAGACAGTGGGACAAAGTTTGGATCGGTCATATCTTTGCAATAAATGCACGCATCAAAATATTGAATACATATTTAGAATTCTTTTAAGACACTCTATAAACCCTGTAAATCCTAAAGAAAAATATTGAAAAACAAAAAAGTAGAAAAATTGGACTTTTTGAATTCACTTCCGTTTGCGACCGGAAGTGCCGACGACGAAAAATAAAGGTCGTTCCCCATATTGGAATCTGATGTTCTATCTATTCATTGAGTTTCAATTTCATATCTTAAGCCGTCCTTGAGAAAAATTCTGGACAAAATGCCATTTAAAAAATACAAATTTCCCCATAAATCGCAAACGGAAGAGAATGTTGAAAAAATGAAAAACACGTCTGGAGATATTTACATGATGCATCTTCCCTGAGAAAATCTCTGAAATCTGCTAGCTCACAGCTGAGATATCGCCGTAACTATGAAAAAAAGAATAATAATAATAATAATAATAGAAAACAGACGGAAAACAATAAGGTCTTCCGAAGGAAGTCGGAAGACCTTAATAATAATAATAAGAAACAGTAGAATCACTATAAGGTCTTCCGTGAAGACGGAAGACCTTAATAATAATAAGAAACAGTAGAATCACTATAAGGTCTTCCGTGAAGACGGAAGACCTTAATAAGCTTGAAAAAGAAACATAAGAATAATAGAAGGGTCTTCCGCTGAAGACGGAAGACCCTAATAATAATAGAAAACAGACGGAAAACAATAAGGTCTTCCGAAGGAAGTCGGAAGACCTTAATAATAATAATAATAAGAAGAAGAAACAGAGTAAAAACAATATGTTTCCGAACTTCGTTTGGGGAACATAATAAGAAACAGAGTAAAAACAATATGTTCCCAAACTTCGTTTGGGGAACATAATAATGCACTTTCACTTTATGATCCGAGCACCAGAACCCTTGAATATGAGGCCATGAATTTCACAATTTTGGTACAGGAATCAATGCTTATTACATTCATGCCAACATTTGACTGCTTGATGTCCAGGAGTAAAGAAGAAGATTTTTAAAGATTGCATTAATTTTGATGGTTTAGCCCCTCCCCTCAGGCCCCAGGGGAGCAGGGACGATGAAATTCACGAATATTGTTTCCCTTCATCCAGAGATTCTATATGCCAAATTGGTTAAAATTGGTTCAGCGGTTCCAGAGAAGAAATTGAAAATGTTCAAATGTTAACGCACGACTGACGACGCACGAAGACAGACGAAAACGGATAGCAGTAGGTCACCTAATTGACTCAAGTGACCTAAAAAATACTATTTTGGGGGGCAACTTCCGGTTTTTGCAAAAATAAGTTGTTTTTGTAATGACTTGACTTTGAACACTCTATTTCCTCTCTTAAAAACGTAGGAACATGTATTTATAAATAGATATGATTAAGAAAAATGTAAAAAAGTTTTAGTTTTCATTGCTGGATAATTAGGAGGTATACTGTAAAAATCAAGGAGTTAATGACAGAAGCAAGACACCACTTGATTTTTTGGTGCTTACAGAGAATGCGTGTTAAAACACTTTTAAAGAAGACTGTGACAAAGTACCTGGGTGATCGGGTTCCGAACGATGCCAGTCTGTGTAGCCACTGTTTATATTTTTTTCAGTTGCAATCCAATACCAAACAGAGTGTTCATGATACTGATCTGATCCTCCAAGCCAAAACATGAAACTTGCTGTAAAAACACGTTTTTCTTTCACAAGAAAGATGATGGAACAAAACACTTTACTTAGCAATTATGTAATAGACAAAGAGAATTCACGTGTCTTATTTTATTTCTTCCTCAAGAGAAAATGCGACTGAATTTCTTTTTCATATCATTTTTAGTATGGTTGACATTTCTGCCTTGATATCAGTAAATTGACTACGTGTCGAGTCAAAAAATGATATCCTACTCACCAAATTCATGACGTAGTCTATTTTGTAAGAATTTCTCTTCCCTGTGAGATTCAACGGCGACCAAACCAGCACCAAGACTAACACATGTATGCTTGTAAGATTCAAAATTTTATCAGAATGTTGAATGAACATTTATTATTCTAAAAATGCTTTAATAGATTTTTTTTTTATTTTGTAATTCATTTTTAATCATACTAAGTGCTTAATGATTTAGTGATTAATGGCAAATAACATTTTAGGCATGATGAGTAAGGTAGAGGTTTTAATTGCGAGCTCTTAAAGCAACACCTGAGCGAAGAGGAAATTCGGACTGTGCATATTGATCCAAACGATTTTTTTTCTGCAGTTACTCCTGGACCCACAATGCATATCGCTGCTAACTAAACTATCAACCATACTCAACCTGACACCCAAGCAATCGCAGAAAGCAGTCCCGGGGACTGCTCTCTCAAAATGTGGGACTGCTCTAGATAGCAAACTTAGCAGTATCAGGAATCCCCGGAACTGCTTTGCTCACTCACGCATGTAAAGGGATCTGAGTGACAAGATAGTCTAGTCCTTTGTATACTCCAAATTTGCAGGTTCCCTGTTGTTGTTTGTTAACATTCAACAGAGAGAATGTTAAAATTTAAAAAAAAAAAAAAAGAACTCTAATAAAATTTTATTAGTTTGGACCACAGGCACTTGTTTCGTATACGGGGCACCCCTACTCATTTTTACCACAAGGTACCTAACTCAGTTTCAGACGTTTCGACCAGAGACGTCTGAAAGGATTTATTTGACAAGAAAAAAGTCTCTCAAAGCGAACGATATAATTTTAAAGAAGGTTAATGATTGATATATGAACAAAATACGAGCTTTTTTTTAGGTCTTAAAATCAAGGGCCTGGGCCTTTCCATTTGGGTAAAATAGCGACGTTTGGTTGAAATTGGGAAGAATATCATCTTTAATATTTTTGTTAATAAATTAAAATAAGAGGGTTTTTTTTCATTTGCAAGGTATTTATTGACTTATTTTACATTCAGTCAATCAGTTTTTGGAGCATGCCTTTTAGATTTTTTTTTTTGAACACCATTCCTGATAAACGTTAATGAGTTCAGCCATTTTTTAACCATATTTGTTTGTTTTGATTCTCTTTTAAGAATTTTCTTTTATGAAATTGGGAAAAGCACCTACTTTTTACCATTGGGAATGGGGCCTATTACAGGCCCCCTACGACCCCTTAAAAAGAGTGCCTGAAATTGAGTTAGGTACCTTGTGGTGCCCCGTATACGAAACAAGTGCCTGTGGTATGGACAGTTACTGAAAAAAGTGGAATATTTATGTACATGTGTGAACATGTTAAAGGTCTTCAGTGTCTGAAAATAAATACCATTGCAGTTAAGAATTAATCAGAAAAAATAAAGTTGTTTCTGCAGTAAAAAAAATGGAAGTCAGGAAATGATTTTTTTCCAAATGAATTTTACGTAAATACATTTGTTTGAAAAAATTTAATTAATTAATTAATGCTGTTAAATTATATACTCAAAATTATTATTAAAAGCATTATTCTCCCCTCCCCCCCCCCTTCCAAGAAAAAAAAGAAAGAAAGAAAGAAAAGAAAAAAAAACGTTCAATGCTCTTTTTAATCACCTCAAAATAATAATAATAAAAAATACCCAAGGGTCATATCGCTCACCTGAACAAGTGTTCTGGGGGGTGGTGGGTGGTGGTATTATAATTTGAGCAAACTTGAATGTACACTATCTTCCTAAGGATGCTTTTGAATTAATATGATACATAATGTCTTTGCTGTTCTTCGGATGAACATTTTAAGTAATATATACTTCATATTCCTTTCTAAAATATGATCACCTGTTATTGCTCCTCCATTCCCCTGGGGGTTATGATTTGAAAAAAATTAAATCTACATTACTTGTGGATGCTTTTATATTATTAGGACCAATCATGGCTTTGCTGTTCTTGTGAAGAATTTTAAAGATTTTTCTACCTATTCCTATGTAAAAATCTGATCACCAATTGTGGCCCCTGCCCTACACTAGGGGGTCATGATTTGAACAAACTTGAATCTACGCTACCTGAGGATGCTTCCATATAAATATGACCACTCAATCATGGTTTTGCTGTTCTTGAGAAGAAGATTTTTAAAGATTTTCTAATGTATTCCTATGTAAAATTTGATTCCCCATTGAGGCGCCACCCTACCCCCCGGGGTCATGATTTGAACAAACTTAAATCTACACTACCTGAGGATGTTTCCATATAAATATGATCAATCATGGCTTTGCTGTTCTTGAGAGGAAGATTTTTAAAAGATTTCCTTATGTATTCCTATGTAAAAAATTGGATCCCCATTGTGGTCCCACCCTACCCCCGGAGGACATAATTTGAATAAATTTGATTCTATACTACCTCACAATGATTCCACATAATTGTCATGTTTTCAAGCACAGTGGTTCTTGAGAAGAAAAATCTTAAAATAATGCCATTAATTTTTCACGAAATCATAATTATCTCCTCTTGGAAAAAGGCGTGGCCCTTCATTTGAACAAAGTTGAATTCCCTAAATCCAAGGATACTTTGTGAAAAGCTTGGTTGAAATTTGCCCAGAAAGTCTTGATAAAGTAAATGTCAGTGCTGATAAATGATTGTTTTGTATAGTGTCAACAAATATCAATTAATAAATCCATTTGAGGTGGATTTTTTTTCAAAAATAGCGGTATTTATGCTTAAAAGAAGGGAATTACTGTATAGATCCGCTCCGGAATTCTCATTGGCTGTCTCAAAATAAAAAAAATCGATCAAGGGCAGTACACTTGGAGGAGAAAATCAAGTTGTGATACTGAAACACATGAAAAATAACCGAAATATGGACTATTCTTGATATTTTTGGGTCAATTTGTCTTTTTGGTGTTACGGTAAGAAATCTTAATAAAAGTCTTTTTTAAAAAAAAATCTGTGCGGTAGTGAATCACACTCGCACTTGCACCATTACAGAGACCTTAAGGAGTTGTAACCCACCCCCTTCCCCACCTCAAAAAAAAAACAAGAGGCCCAGGGGCCACATCGCTCACCTGAGCACTATGGCTAGGAAAAAGCAGAAATCACTTTAATCTTGAAAGGTTGAAAAGTTTAAATATAAAAGTGGTTGGGGATGGGGGGTGTCAGGAATTGAACAAATTTGAATCTACATTATCTGAGGATGCTTCCATTTAAATATGACCAATCATGGCTTTGCTGTTCTTGAGTAGAAGATTTTTAAAGATTTAACCTATGTATTCCTATGTAAAACTTTGATCACCCATTGTGGCCCCACCCGACCCACAGGGGTCATGTTTGAACAAACTTGAATGTACACTATCTAAGAATGCTTCCATATAAATATGACCAATCATGGCTTTGCTATTCTTAACAAATAGTTTTTTTTAAAGATTTTTACTATGTGTTCCAATGTAAAACTTTGATGGCCCATTGTGGCCCCACCCGACTCCCGGGGGTCATGATTCGAGCACATTTGTATGTACACTATCTGAGGATGCTACCATATAAATATGACCAATCATGGCTTTGCTATTCTTAATAAATTGTTTTTTTTTTTTTTAGAATTTTTACTATGTGTTCCTATGTAAAACTTTGATCGCCCATTGTGGCCCCACCCGACCCCCGGGGGTCATGAGTTGAATAAATTTGAATGTACACTACCTGAGGATGCTTCCATGTAAATATGAGCAATCATGGCTTTGCTGTTCTTGAGAAGAAGATTTTTAAAGATTTTTCATATATATTCCTATGTAAAACTTTGATCGCCCATTGTGGTCCCACCCTACCCCCGGGGGTCATGAGTTGAACAAATTTGAATCTACACTACCTGAGGATGCTACCATATGAATATGACCAATGATGGCTTTGTTGTTCTTGAGAAGAAGATTTTTAAAGATTTTTCCTATATATTCCTATGCAAAACTTTGATCGCCCATTGTGGCCCCACCCGACCCCCGGGGGTCATGATTTGAACAAATTTGAATCTACACAACCTGAGGATGCTTCCATGTAAATATGACCAATCATGGCTTTGCTGTTCTTGAGAAGAAGATTTTTAAAGATTTTTCCTATATATTCCTATGCAAAACTTTGATCGCCCATTGTGGCCCCACCCTACCACCGGGGGTCATGATTTGAACAAACTTGAATCTACACTACCTGAGGATGCTTCCAAGTAAATATGACCAATCATGGCTTTGCTGTTCTTGAGAAGAAGATTTTTGAAGATTTTTCCTATATATTCCTATGTAAAACTTTGATCACCCATTGTGGCCCCACCCGACCCCCGGGGGTCATGATTTGAACAAACTTGAATGTACACTATCTGAGGATGCTACCATATAAATATGACCAAGTATGGCTTTGCTGTTCTTGAGAAGAAGATTTTTAAAGATTTTTCCTGTATATTTCCTATGTAAAACTTTGATCGCCCATTGTGGCCCCACCCTACCCCCGGGGGTCATGATTTGAACAAACTTGAATCTACACTACCTGAGGATGCTTCCACATAAGTTTCATGTTTTCAAGCACAGTGGTTCTTGAGAAGAAGATTTTTTAATGATGCCATTAATTTTTCACGAATTCTTAATTATCTCCCCTTGGAAGAGGGCGTGGCCCTTCATTTGAACAAACTTGAATCCCCTTTACCCAAGGATACTTTGTGGCAAGTTTGATTGAAATTGGCCCAGTGGTTCTTGAGAAGAAGTCGAAAATGTGAAAAGTTTACAGACGGACAGACGGACAGACAGACGGACAGACGGACTACAGACAAAATGTGATCAGAAAAGCTCACTTGAGCCTTCGGCTCAGGTGAGCTAAAAAAAGAAAAAGTGGAGAGGGCTATATTATTGCAGCTTCACTTCACCTAAAGCAGTCATCGCTTCTATATGAGAGAAAAATTCTCGAATGGGAAGTTAAAAGCATACATCAATCTTTAGCGAGTGTCTAAATATGGTTTGGGTTCTTGAAAATACATGCAAAGCCTGTATAAAATTAATATAAGAACAAGATACCAAGGCCTGATTCCAGGGTAGAGTGTTCTTTGAGAACATGTAGCAAGAGTTCCCATGGCGATGCCAGCCAGGCGGACATCTGGAAGAAGAACCTGCAATGATCAAATTTTTCGTTTACTTACCAAATTACATAACATGTGTTTCCACAAAATTTTAAGTTTTAGCTTAATCGCTTTAGAAACACAGACCAGGCTTAGCTACAGATCTGCAGCTAACCAAGGCTGTTCATTCTCTCTTCGTATACATAATTAAGAAATGAAAGTGATTGATTTACTAAACCAATCTACAGGTATTGGAACATAACTTGGTGTCAGACATTTTCTTTCACTCTCTCAGTAGTACATGTAAACACGTAATTTAGAAATACTGAAACTAAACATAAAATTGACACCTATGATGATAAATGTTACCATTACTATAGATTTCCAAAGAAAGCATCAATATAAAAGATTTTTTTCGAAAACTATACAAGGAATTGAAAAGTGTGTAGCATATATATATATATATATATATATATATATATATATAGACTCTCTGCATTCGTCGGAGATTATTTAAAACATGGACTACATCGATGTTTTTGTATATTCTGATGACATTAATTCACACAAACTTGCTAAAAGAAGGTGTGGCAATTCTATAATAATTTTCCCTAAAGGCGTTGCAGATAACACGATCTATGAAGTATTTAAAGTACGTGTAACAGAAAAAGATGTTACATACATAAACCCACCTCTCTCTCTCCCTCTCTCTCATATTTATTATTTATCAGTAAATTTTTTAATTAAATGAGTATCACCATTGTTCTGAAAAAGCTCCTCCTCAAATCAAAATGATTTGATATGAATATTAAGAACCAGAAATTTTCTTCAAAACTGTTATTTCCAATTTTGGTCCAAAAAGACATATTTGAAAATCAAGATGCTCAAGGGCCTTAACGGTCACCTGACTCTAATACACACAGCAAGTTAAGGCTACAAAAACGAGGGGAGAAAATTTTAACGGGAATCTTAACTATGACATCATTAATAACCAATTCTTTGAAAAAACAACAAAATGAAATGATTTGCGATTTTAAACTGTTGGAAAGCATCAAATCTTACTATATATGCTATTTATCATTAGTTAAATCCCACATAGAAAGGTATAAATAAATCACTGATCGCATTGCACTTATCTATGTGATGTCATTCCGTAGAACAACATGCAGTTTGTATGCAGTGAGAGGCGGATCAAGTTATATTTTCAGAACGAAAAGTGTATATATGTATGCTTATAATTAAATAAAATATTATTTGCAGACATTTAAGAAGCAATTAACTTGGATGGAATATCTTTTTAATGATTTAATTTATATATTTTCCGTTTTCCTAGTTAACTAATAATGCTTTATTTTTGTATGCAGGTACATTGGAAGGTTATGTAAAGGTTTTAATAAATGGATAAAAATGATAAATCAATAGCATACCCTCAATGGATCACAGTAAATTTTTACACATAAACGCAGGAAATATTTAGCTATACTGTTTGAAAAATGCTGCTATCCTGCTGAGATCTTGAGAATGTATTACTTCTATATTGAATGCAGTTGACCAGGAAAAAAATTAACTTGGTTATGCCCTTGCACTACCGGTATTGAAAATTATAGATGACCTGAATTCTGCAAGTATATGTGCCACAATAATGTGACTGCCAAATCAAGTGACAAGTCTGAACAGAAAATGTAATTGTCCTCAATATGTAGTCAATAACTCTAATTAGTCGCCTACGCGGCGTAGTGGTTAGAGAGTTTACTCTAGAGTCGCCGAGTAAGGAGTTGATCCTTACGTCGCAGGTTCTAATCACACTGTGGGACGTGGAGAACGGTCCTTCGGATGAGACCTATTAACCGTGTCGCAGAAGGTGCTAGCACGAAAAATTTCCTAACTGCTCAATGGCCCGAAGTGCCGAGTATAGGTTAAAATACAGAGTCACACAAATACACATAGATACATACAAAGAAATAGAGTCATATCTCTGATCCTTCGACGTTTTTGGCTCCAGTCTTTGGCACCTTTTTTCCAGCTCTTCCAAGTCTTTTTTATTTAAATATTTTGGATTTCCAACATTTCGGCTTGAGCATCACTGAAGAGACATAAATTGTCGAAATGCGCATCTGGTGCATCAAAATTGGTAACGTATAAGATTTACATTATGATCCCTGTGTCGAGGCCTCTGCTGGTGGACTGTAAGTGATCGATGGTCTCTACAGCCCAGTAACCTAGTACTTCGGTATTAGCTTGAAAATACGAATATATATGTAATTGCTGTGGTAAAATTTAAAAATTTATTTCAAAATTAATGATTATCTCCTTCATGCAAAGTTCTGATCCTTCGACGTATTTGGAACCTTTTCTCAGCTCTTCAAAGTCTTTTTTTCAAAATATTTTGGATTTCCAACGTCTCGGTCTGAGCATCACTGAAGAGACATAATTTGTCGATATGCGCATCTGGTGCATCAAAATTGGTACCGGATATATTTACTTCATATCTTTAGACCATTAAACATTTGTTAAAGCACAGAAAATAGTTGTGTAGAATGAAAAGATCTTTCATTTGATATTAAGGAAAATTGGCTAGTCCCTCCAATTAGGGACCCAGAGGAACCAAGATTCTTTAATCCATAACTTTTTAAGAATCAATATATTGTTATAGTTTACTGAAGCAAAAATGTTTCTCTAAACAATCTACAATCATATATTTAGTTTAAAATTTTGACCAGATTTTACGAATTTAAGTGCGACAAAGGGCCAGTATGCTAAATCTTATAAAAGGGAAATATTTTGAGAAGCAACATTGAACTAAAGATGCCCAGAAAAATGTACCAACGATAGGCAACCTTTAAATTTTTGGAAAATGGCCCAATTAAGGGCTTGAAGGGCTGGCCCCTAAATATTTCTTTTCTATATCTCACGAAAGAAAATTTTTAAATAATTTTTGAATAAATACTTACATAGTGTTCAAAATTAGAAGAGCTTTCATTTGATATCAAGAAAAAAGGACTGTCCCTTCAAATTGAGGGCCTAGAGGGGCCAAATGTCCTTAATCTCTATCTTTTTAATGGTCAATATAATGTTAGACATTATTAAAGCAATAATGTCGATTTTTAGGTCACCTCACTCAGGTGACCTATTGCTATCTGTTTTCGTCCGTTGGCATCCGTCGTCCGTTAATATTTGAACATTTTCAGCTTCTTCTATGGAACTGTTGAACTAATTTCAATTATATCAAAGCATCTATGAGTAAAGGGAAACAAAAATTGTGAATTTCATGGTCCCTGCCCCATTGGGACCTGAGGGGTGCGGCTAAAACCACCAAAATTAATACATTTTTTTTTTTTAAATCGTCTTTTTTACTCCTGGACAGCAAGCAAACTTGGCATGATCGTAATAAGCATTAAGCCCTTTACCTAAATTATGAAAATCATAGCTCTAGGGTCATGGGTTCTGGAGGCTCTAATGATCATATAGTGAAAATGCATAAATTCTTTAAAAAAAAAAAAAAACTTCTATTCTCCTCCTGTATATAAAGCAGATAAACTAGGTGAATTGTTATGATGATCAAAAGTGCCTCTTCCAAAATTGTGAAAGTTGTGGCCCCAGGGTCAGTGGTTATGCTGTAAGGGGGGGGGGGGCTCTATTGATTATATAGTGAAAGTGCATTAATTCTTTGAAAATATTCTCTGCTCCTGTCTATTAAACAAAGTACATAGTTACGATGAGCAAAGGTTTCTCTTGCAGAATTTTGAGATTCATGGCCCCTGTTTCGGGGGCACTGGTGGTAAGGCGAGGCTCTACTTACTATACAGTGAAAATGCATTAATTATTTGAAAATCTTATCAGCTCCTGGGTACTTAACAGATAAATTAAGTGCATGGTTATGATGATCAAGAGTTCCTCTTCCAAATTGTGAAATTTGTAGCTCCATGGTCAAGGGTTCAGGTGGTAGCGCGAGGCTATATAGATCATATAGTAAAGGTGCATTATTTTTTAGAAAATCTTCTATGCTCCTTGGTATTAAGCAAACAAACTAAGGGCATAGTTATAATGAGCAAGAATGCCTCTTCCAAAATAGTGATTTCATGGCCCCTGGGTCAAGGGTCTTGTTTTAGGACGGGGCTCTTTTGATTATGCATTAATTCTTTGCCAATTTTCATTTCTGCTCCTGGGTATAAACAAATTAAGTGTATGGTCATGATACGAAAAGGTGCCTCTTTCCAAATTGTGAAATTTGTGTCCCCAGGGCCAATGGTTCTAGAGTTAGGGCGAGGCTCTAATAATCATAAAGTGAAAATGCATAAATTCTTTAAAAGCCGTCTTCTTTCCCTCTCTATATTTATTTCTCAGAATTGTATCCATTTTTAAAAGTAATATTGAACGAAAGATCATGTTAAATGAATCGTCAGAGTGAAATGTAAAGGGGAAAAAAATTATATTATTATCTATTAAGGAATATTTCAATCAAAATCACATCTCATGTTATCGAAAAATTGGAGGGGGAACTACTCGTTGCTCGCAACGAGATCTCATTAAGTTAAGGTCTTTCGTCTTCAGGGAAGATCTTATAGTGTTTCTACTGTTTTTCTTCGTCTTATTATTATTATTTAGACAAATTTTGTGCACGCGATATTTGGAGAACTTTATAGTGGTTTTCCGTCAAACTCTCAGTGAAAATGCGCTATAATAGGTCATTGTTACATTTGAAAGAAATTTGGAAATATTCACTTCCGGTTCCAAGTTATTTACAGTTTTCTGATTTTGAAATGAAGTACTTAAGAATGGCTAAAGATCTTAAGAATGGCTAAATATTTGAATTGGAGACTTGTTGGAGATGACATAACATGACCTCTAAATGTGAGGACCGGAATCACCTTTTCGTGCGCCGTCAGGACTTCTGGTCGCTACTGGAAGCGAATTTAATGGTCGGATTTTTCAACCCTTTCGTTTTAAAATATTTCTCTTTGATATATTTGTAGGGTTAATAGAGACTCAATTTGTTTTAAAAATACAAATATCCAAACTCTAGATATTCGTCATTTTCCAATTTGAAGTGATTGTCTTATTAGAGTTATGGTAACTGTGTTGGATTTTCACGCGGGCAAACCGGCCTCAATCTCCAGAAAGTCAGAGTTTTTTTCAGCTGAAATATAAGGTTCTATTCTTGAAATGATATATGGTATTTTTTTTTCCCTTTGAGTTATGTGATTTCACAATTTATGTTTTAGTATATTTCATGTATGAACAAGCATTCTGAGAGTATTGCATTAGCAATACTAGTCCCCTACCGGCAAGTGTAATCTGGTTCCCGTTAAGAATTGAAAATGCCATAATTCCGTCAAACATTAATGAGGCTGGACGAAATGCAAACTTGATCTATAACTAATCAAGGTAAAGCCACATACCAAAAATCAGCTCAATATCTGAAAGCGTTAAAAAGAAAATTGCGGAAAACCCGTAAAAATTGAAAAGGCTGTAATTCCGTCAAAAATCAATGAAGCGGAACGAAATGCAAACTTGATCTGTAACTCATCAAGATACACTCACATACCAAAAATCAGCTCAATATCTGCAAGCGTTTAGGAAAAAAATGCGGAAAACCAAGTGGGACAGACTGACAGACAGACAGAGGGACAGACAGACAGACGGACAGACAGACAGACAGACGGACAGACAGACGGACGGACAGACTCCGAGGAAACCTATAGTCCCCTCCGGTTTCACCGGTAGGGGACTAATAAGTTAAAAGGATTGGACAAGGTAATACATATCCATTTGTAATAAGGAATAAGGAGAAAGGACGGAAGACTTTCTTCTTGCCATGGCAACAAGGTTTCTAGGTTTTTTTTTTTTTTTTTTTTTTTCATAGTACAGGCGATATCTCAGCTGTGCGAGTTCAATTTGAAAGATTTTTTTTTTTCAGGAAAGATGCATCATGATATCTCTAGGGATGCCATTCACTTTTTTAAAATTTACTTCCGTTCGCGTTTTTTGGACAAAATGATTACATCTTTGTCCTCCAAAATGATAAAATTTGTTGAAATTATTCGGCATTTTTAGAAAAGAAAATTTAAATATTCAGAAATTTACGATCGGCACACGATGACAGAGAAGAACAGATTTCAAAAGGGCACACGAATGTATGACTTCGCTTTACGCAGGTACACACTAAAAGTGCATGGTTGTGCTGTGAATCTGTTATACGAAAGTCATTGTAAGGCAACTTGCCTCAATTTTGTCGTTTTGTAAAGAACGATTAAATTTCTCACCTCTACAATGTCTCGAATGACTGAAATTGAACATCATCGCCACAGTCAAAAGGAAGATCAAACTCCGGGCAGAAGTCATTTTGTTCCTGGATGTACTATTGACAAAGCTAAAAAAAGTGATAGGATATTTGATCAAGAATAATTTTATTATCAATAAAAAACAATATAATACTGTAAACTTAAATGTGAACAGAATGTGCTTATAAATATTATCATCTATTATCATAAAAAATAGTATTTCCTCTAATATTTATATACAAACCTTTTTACTTAATTGAGAAAAACAATTAGGTGGAATTTTATTATTATTTCTATATATTTTTATCTAACAGTATATGAGTTAAAGTGTAAATTAGCCATTTAACTTTTATACACAATTACGCAAATCGGTCAACATTTTTTGACTCCTCATGTACAACATAAGCCGAGAAAACTGTGTAAATCTGTTTGTTAAACAAATGTGACCCCAAAAATAGGCTGGGTAGTGATGTGGAGAACAGTTCCTGAACATAGAATTCGTTAAAAAATCCATAAGTATGAGAAATACAACTCATAAATTCTATTTCATGCGGATATAACTATTTCAGGTTAAGTTTCATATTTTAACCATGTATTAAATATAAGATTGTAAACTCCCACATTATGCCTCATTTCAATTGTAGCCCATGATGAGCCTCTATTTGAGGTATGGGAACTACATGTAGCAGCATTCTATCCACAGATTTTGTCAAACAATACGGGAAGTTCTTACCTCACGTACGCTCAGAAATGCTTTTCTTTTCACTTCTTCCCAATTACAGCTTAGTCATGATTATTTATATAAATGAACAAGAATCCTCAGGTAGTAAAGATTCAAATTTGTCCAAGTCACAACACTTGGGTAGGGTTTGGCAACAACTGGGAATCAAATTTTTACATGAAATTTTTTTGATTAAAAAAGCTTTCAAAATAATACTTAATAGAGCAAGAGGTTCATATTTAGTCATCTTGCCGGTGGAGGGCTACAAATTTTGACTTATACTCGGCACTCAGGGCCATTGAGCAGTGAGGGATCTTTTTCGTACCAGCACCTACTGCGACACGGGACCTCGGTTTATACGGTCTCATCCGAAGGACCGGTCTTCACGTCCCGCAGTGGGATTCGAACTCGCGACGTAAGGATCAACTTCTTACTCCGCGACTCTAGAGCAGACGCTCTAACCTTTGTGCCACGAGGGCGGCTGGTGTTGATGTAAAATTAGGTATAAAATTTTACAATATGCATTTTTTGAAGCATTTTTAAAACTTTCTTCATAACTGCAGGACCAAGTAAGTCATATTGATCTTGAAGCATCCCCATGTTATGTGGATCAATTTCGGTTATGTCATATTCCCTGAAGGCTAGGATGGGGCCACCAAAAAGGGTAATATTTTTTTATGGAAATGAAGTGGGGAACAAGCTTTTCAAATTCTTCCGACTAACAGCAGGACCAAAGTAACTCATCTTAGCATTATGTCTGCATTGTGACCAAATTGGCTTCTTGCAATCATCTGATTATAATTTCTGTAGAATACCCGACCCTATCCCCTAGTCATACTTTCATTATACTAGCATTGTAAATCCTTTCAATTTTAATATTTTTAGGTGTTATCTTTGATAATACACTTTCTTTTATGTCGCATATTAAAATGCTGAAAGAAAAATGTGCAAAAGCACTAGATGTAATTAAAGTTAAGGCAATTTCAAAATGTGGGGGGGGGGGGGGAATAAAAATACTTTTCATAATAATAAACTAAAGCTCTCTTGTAATATCAAAATTAGACTATGGCTGCATTGTGTATGGATCAGCAAGGACTTTTATAAAAAACCTGATGCAATCTACTACCATCAAGGCCTTCGACTTTGTTTAGGAGCTTTTCGTACTTCTCTAGACAGCTTACATGTCGAGGCAAATGAGCCACCTCTTGACTTAAGATGGATAAAACTACCCTTATATACAATATATTCTAAAATCAAAAGCAAATACTGAATACCCTGCATACGGATGCGTTTTTTTCCGCAATATGATGATTTGAATCATGTATAAAATTTATTGGACTATGATCTAGAAACATAATGGAGATTCTGAAATACCTTTAGATATAAAACCCACAATCTATTTTGAAATACCACCATGGAAATTAATTAAACGAAGTGTAGATACATCTTTAACTGAATTTAAGAAACCAGAGAGAAATTCTCTTGTTTTTAAACAGAAATCAGCCGAAATAAGACATTCTAAGAATTCTCAAGTCGATCTTATAAAGATGATTCAAAGACAAAAAGAAAGTGGCAGCAGCTGCATTGGTTAACAAACGTGTTTTTTTTTCTACATGCCTTCCTGACGGAGCTCCTATTTTTTACAGCAGAAGCAAAAGCCATGTATTTGAATATACTAAATCTTCTACTGACCACATTTTTACAATATTTTTGGACTCGCTCTCTTGCTTAATTACAATCGATAAAAAATATGAACATTGAACCATACATTTTATATATATTAATTCAGTATTATCATTTTACTCCACAAGGTAAACTATAGAAGACTTTTGTTGGACTTAAAGTCACATTGGCATCCCTGGAAACATTAAAGATGATAGTGTTGCAAAAATGGCGCTTAAGTATGACGTTACTTTTTCTTTCAAAATTTCATAAACTGATCTGACATATTTTGTTAAACTTTATGTAAATTCACTCTGGCAAATTTATTGGTTATTTTGTGATACAAGTAAACCTTATGCTAAGAAAACAAAGTTAACAAATCAATTTACTTCGGTTTGAAACGTCAGGACGAAGTGATTATTTCACGAATACGTATTGGTCATTCAAAAATAATATATGAATATTTATTTACTCGAGAATTGAAGCCAGAATGTACATCTTGTAAATGTCTGTTAACTTTCAATCATAATCTTTTAGAATGTACCGATTTTTTTCCTGTTTGAAGTAGATTTTTAAATGATGTGCGAACGATGCATTAGCTTTTTAAAAATGTGAATGTTTATAATTTTAGAATTTTTACATGAAACTGATTGTTACAGTAAAATCTAGAATAGTATAACTAAGTAATTTTGTCTATATTTTAACTGATTACATATATGTAACTTTTGAGTCCGTCGGTTGGGACGTTAAATGGTGCCCCGTGTCAAGGATAACAACCCCATTTGGCACGAAAAAGATCGTTTCTCTGGTTTTCGAGAAAGTATGCTCACTGGGGCCGCCAGAGAAACCAAAATCTTCCAAAACGGTCATATGCACTCAATTTGTTTGCCAAAATATGGCTGAAAAATTGCCGACTCGGAGTTAAAAAATAATAATTGAACAATAAATCATATCAGTTTTGAATTATCATCTAGAAAGTTTCTCATGTGCCTTAAATTTTCAGATAAATACCTGATTTTCAATTTCTCTTTTCAGCCAAAGTTTAATTTGAAGTAGGGTTGTTCATCTGAATTGTTTTTATGACAAAGATTGGACTTGCAAAGATGTTAAAAGGAAATTTATCAAAAATGCAAAAACTGAGATTTTTTTTTTATTTTTGAAAGAAATGGCCAGGCAGAACTTTCAAAGCTTTTCAATATTCCTGGACACAATATAAAATAAATATGCTTACAAGTATTTACATGTACATAAGTCTTTAATCAATATTTTGATAAAGGGAATTAACGCCGAAATTTTAAATGTTTGTAATATTTGTCTGATTATAGATAAAAAAAAAAAAAAACAAACAAAAAAAAAAAAAAAAAAAAAAAAAAAAAACTAATGACTAAACAAGGAATGGTATTTTATTTTAAAATGAGTTTTTATATAATTTTAATTTTACTTTCATTAAGGAGCTTAATAACGAAATGATTTGACACCATTCATGCATGAATCCATTTCATATTAAAACAAGATCTAAATTACCTTACCTTATCATGAACACCCCAGCAGTTTGTTTGACGCTCGTGGATTTTACTTATATGGAAATATATCTTATTGGGAATCGAAAACACATGCGGTTTGATAGATATGTGAATACGAACAATTGAAACGAGTTTAAATTGTAACGTGGGCCGTTACAGATGTTCCCCAACGCTCCTCAACTCCCTTTGGGTGCCTTATTCCATGTACGATCCATTATATTAAGTAAACTTGTCTTTTCACTAACAGCACGTGCATGTGAATGCATACTATGTTATTTTGTCTACACTATTTGTACGTCTTTATATTCAACATGTAACTATCAAAGTATTTTATCAAAAAGTATAAAAATTATGGCTATACTAAGTGTATTGGTCCTTTTATAACATAACAACAAAGCTCTATGATAAACGTGATGGCTTCAACTTTTCAATAGTCAACTTCCCTTACTTATGTAGCAAACCCTTATCACCTGCATATGGGTTTTATATCTCTCACTTAATTCGATACCCAAAAGCATGCTCTACGTTTTAATAATTTCTAAAACGAGGCAAGCTTGTGACAAACAAGTTGATGAAACAAGAATATACACAGTCTCGTTTGAAGTCATAATTTGGCAAGTTTTATGGTCGATACATTGACCTTGTCAGCACATATATACAACCTATCATTGAGTCATATGCTGACTGACGGTTAGGACATTATTTATACAGTAAAGTGTCTATGGATTTTTCCCGAAAGTGACAAGGAGCACCAGCGGGTGTGACCGCTCGGCAGGATTTGCTCACTCCTCCATGACACATGATCCCATCTCTAAATTTTGAGGTCCGTGTTTGCTCTGCTCAAAACTTCTATCGTTTCATTGGTTTTTTGAAATTTAATACTATTCGTTATCTTCATATTTCATGCATTACACTAATGCAAGTGCATGCATTCACATGAAAAACATGTTATCTTGTCTACACTATTAATATATATTAATATTTACAGTATCAAAGAATTTCATTTTAAAAACTAAAAATTACAGTGATATCAACTATATTAGTCATTTAACGCTTTTCTTGCGTGCGAATGTGCATGCATGATGATCGTATTGTGTTGTCTAAACTACAACATATCTTTATATTCGGAGTATAAAAAAATCATAAAAATTATAAAGGTTACGCCTTTATAAAGTATATTGATCATTTTATGCATTGCACACGCGCAGGTTCATGTATGTGCATACTAACCACGTCATCCTGTCTACATTAATAATATATCTTCATCTTCTGAGTATCAGAGTATTTCATAAAAAAAAAGTAAAAGTTACGGTTATATCATGTATATCGTTCATTTTACTCATTGCATGCACACACACACGTGAATGCATTTGCATATTGACCATGTCATCTTGTCGGCACTTTTAAAATATCTTTAAATTTCGACTTTCAAAAAAAAAATTCATTAAAAAAATATAAAAATTACGGCTATATCAAGTATATTGGCTATTTTACATATTGCACGCGCGCACGTGCATTTATGTTTATAAAGATCATGCCATCTTATTTAAACTGTTAATATATATTTATATTCATAGTATGGAAGCATTTCATCAAACAATATAAAAATTACGGAAACGTCAAGTTTATTGGTTATTTTACACATTGCACGCAAATGAATGCAGGTGCGCGCAAAATGACCTCCGTTCAGCACATCTCCACAACATACCTATTAATCCCATGAATGTTTCACCTCAATTAGATGTGTAGTTTACGAGAGGTACCTAGGATGAAAAATAAGAATAATTAGAAACCTGATTACCATGGCAACAAGAAGGTCTTCCGTCTCTTCTCCGTCATCAGAGAACTTGATTCCTCACTCATAACACAACATTTGTTACGTTGTGCATTCCCTTTAACAACTTCATACATAAAATATAATTAAACGTTTATATTGTGAAAATGTCGAAAAATTGGAATTGAAAAATACGAGTTATCATTTTAAAGACAAAAATATATTTGAGGTGAAAAAGTGATAAAAGAATGGATATTCTGGGGTTTGAAACTGGATTGCCCGCGTGAAAATCCAACAATTTAACCATTATGCTATTGAGTACTATCGCTTTAAAGTGAAAAATGATAAATATCTAGAGCATGGGTTGATAATTTTTAAACAAATTACACATTTAGCATTCTGATAAGACTATCTTTTATAAACCCTATTAATATCATAACAAAATTATGAAAACCAAAAATGTTTTAAAAAATAACTTTTTAAAATTTTTTGTTTACACATCTACAGATCACCTTCTACCATACCTGAAAGTTGTGGACTGCTATCTTTAAGAGTTTTTGAGAACATTCGCGGACAAGGTTCTAGTGGAAAAATTGATAGATTGTAATAATTCCTCAACGGGAGTAAATTTTTCGAAACTTCTTTTATATTTCAAAATGGCAAAAACACATTATCCCTAAAATTTGACTGAAAATTATTGAATAATTTTTGGGATATCGCGATTTGAAAAGGTGAAAAAAAAATGCAAAATAATAATAACTAGATAAGATCTCGTTGCGAGCAACGAGTAGTTCTTCCGTTAGATATCTATAAAGATCTTAGATTGGAAAAGTTTGATTGATAAAAGAAGGTAAAACAATTAAGAATGAAAAAAGTATTTATTCGTATCAATTCTTCAAAATATATTACACATAAAGAGTGAAATGTATGAATTTCAAGTGACGTCGATCGACAAAATATATGGTTGGATGCTTCCGGTGACTTGAAGTACCGAATTAAGTGTCGGAAACTGCCAAAATATGCATCTTCTGACTACATCCGGTTTTACCAGAAGTGACGTCAATAGATGACTATTGATGATCTCAGCAACTGCTTCTGCTTAATTTGAACAATTTTGCTTCAATAATGTATTACAAATTCTCAATAATTATTGACTTATCGATGAAAAAATTTTGGTCCCTCTAGACCCCTCAATTGAAAGGCCAGACCTTTTTTAATCCTATCGAATATAAGATCTGATTGTACATTGTTTAACGTCCCGTTAGAGAATTTCACTCATATCGAGACGTTACCATATACCGCTGAAGGGCATCAAATTTAGACCTTTACTCGGCACTCAGGCCATTGACTAGTGAGGGTTCTTTACCATGCGAATGCATACCGTGACACGAGCCTCGGTTTTTAATGTCTCATCCCAAAGACCCGCAATTTTCACTTCAAAGTGCCGAGCCATGGCGAAGGAACAGTTTCTACCTATTTTTTTCTCAACTTAGGTCAGTCGCGGCCGTTATTCGAACACACGAACTCCCGATCACGGAGCGAGCGCTCTACCGACTGAGCTACTGTGACGGTTAAAAGATCTTGGAAGTTTTGCACAAATTCTGTTCTACGTGTTATTCCAAATTATTTACAGGTAAGGAGATATTATAGAAAAAGCGTTAAAAATTTTGAAATTTCCTATATGCCTTTTATCGGACCATAGCAAGCGCCGATGTGCGGTATTTCTGGTAGAAATGAAATACCATACGCATATCTATAGACTGGGGTTTACCGTACCTGAAAGTTTTATCTTTCTATCTTGAGTCGTTTATGTTTGTTTTGTTTGTTTGTATGTTGTTAAACGTCCCTCGAGAATTTTTCACTCATATGGAGACGCCACCACTTGCCGGTGGAGAGCTGCAAATTTTGTCCTATACTCGGCACTTACGGCCAATGAGCAGTGAGGGGTCTTTTTCGTGCCAGCACCTACTGCGACACGGGACCTCGGTTTATACGGTCTCATCCGAAGGACCGGTCTTCACGTACCACAGTGGGATTCGAGCCCGCGACATAAGGATCAAGTCCTTACTTCGCGACTCTAGAGCAGACGCTCTAACCACTGCGCCACGCAGGCGACTGAGCCGTTTTTGAGAAAATCTGCATACAACTCGACATCTCAAAAATCATTAAATTGACAATATCTCCGAACCGGAAGTAACGTCATCAATACAGAAAAAAAAGCATTTGGTTAAATTAATGATGCATAAGTCTAAAAAATTTCACAGAAATCCTTGGATCCATTTTCGAGAAATCGCGTGCACAAAATAAGTAAGAAAAAACAAACAAACAAAAAAAAAAATAGAGCAAAGCTCGTTGCTTGAGCAACAAGCAGGTTTTCCGTCCTATTCGGGGAAAAAATGAAGGGTAAAATGCAAGTAAGTATGTAAAAAACACAGCTCTGAAGAACATTCAACTTATAATGATGTGAAACGTCTCCAGGGACTGTAAACATTCAATTGCAAGAGATATTTTTAAAAAGAAGCCACCAACAGTATAACTTCTTCCGCTTTGATTAGAAGTGAAGTTCGATGAAAAATAATATTGGACGTCTCCAATGACTAAAATCATTCCAATTTCGTGCCGATCCCTTCAAAGCTTTTTCTTACTACTTCCGGTTTGACCAACGAAAATGAGCTCGGATGGTTCCAGTGACTAAAATCATCCAATAACGTGTCGAAAACTGCAGAAATATGCATTTTCTGACTACTTTTTCAACTCTGGAAACATTCTCTACAAATACAAAGCAAAATAAATGGTTCACAGCGATTAATATTCGCGAGTAAATGAAGGTCGCGAAACTTGCGAATATTTTTCGCACGCAAATAAAAGTTGGTTTACAGTATCATTAATTTACTACACTTTTATGCGCTAAGCTGCTTTGATTATGATAGATCTTGCTCTGAAATTAATGTCATCAAAGTTTTTTTTTCTCTCATCTGAAACAGCTATACAGTAAAAGCAGTTATATTCGTTGGGGATTAAATTTAATTTATTTCGCTGTTAACAATTATCGACAAAATTAAATCCCACTCAAAATTTCATATGACTATAAAGTGAATAGGGTTACCATCGAAACAAAGAAATTTACTGCCCACGAAACCTTTTTAGAGGAGGAATCAACAACTTTTATCCTTATGAAAATGAGTGCTTCTACAGTATGTCATTTAATCAATAATAAATATGAAAAGAAAAAAATCTACTTTCACAACATTATTTGGCAAATTTCCAATTTATGATACAATTGCCCAGGTGC